GCTAAGAGCTTTACAAATATTACCTTATTTAATCCTCACAATAACTCTGTAGGGAAGGTACTATTATTATCTCCATTTTATATATGAGGAAACTGAAGCAAATAGATTAAGTGACTTACTTAGGGTTACACAGCTATCTGAGATAAGATTTAAACTCAGGCCTTCTGGGACTCCAGGCTGGTCACTGTGCCCCTTAGCTGACTCATTAGTGTTTTTGATAATCACATGCTACTTTCTCCCTGGTAAGAATAAATAAATAAAATTTTAAAAATAAAAAAATAAAAATTTTAAAAAGCCTCTGATTTCTACTTTCCATATCTAATCAGTTACCAATTTTAATTTTTAAATTTATTTTATTTTTAATTCATGGAATAAAACATTAACATAGTATAACAAAAAAAGAGATGATTGCACATGAAGCTGCAAATCTATCGTGTACAGCTTGCTATTCCTTTAAAATATATCATGTTATCATGGAAATTTCCCTTTTTCCTTTTGTTTTCCTCCTTACCCTAGAGATGGCTACTATTAGACACATACATACACACACATACATATACACATATATATATACATATGTAAATACATAAATATGTACATATGTACATGTAAAATCATTCTGTACATACTTCTATTTATCAGTTCTTTCTCTGGATGCAGATAGCATCTTCCTTCATTTATTAATTTAGGTATAATAGTCAAAATGACTTATTCACTGAAAGTTCTTCTTAAAACATTGCTGTTACTGTATACAACATTCTCTTGGTTCTGCTTTTGAAAAGAAATGTTTTCATGACATTATTGTTTGGTTACAAATCTTGGGACACCTCAATCTCTTAAAAATTCCTGCAGATGCCCAAAAGATGATATAGACATACATGATGAGCACATTTAGACTGTAGCATATTTCCAGTGATGCTCAAGAAATACCTTAAAAGTCATCATCAAAAACATCAAATCAGATCAAGAGTAAGGGTTACCAGATGGACAGCCAAGCATTGCACTGAAATCCACAAAATAACAAAATGAATAGAAAAAGGCCTCTACTATATGGGATAGATATTGTGAAGAGGGTTCATGAAAGGACATGGGCAAGAACTGAACAGTAATTGAAAGCACATGTGGGCTTTGTTCCACATTGATTCCTCACTGCAATAATCTTCATAAAGCAGAGATCAATTCTGCTAGATTCTAACCTAGTAAAATCATATCAGTGTTACCCAGTTCTAGTCATCACACTTTAGAAGTAAAATTAACAAACCTGTGTGTGTCTACAAAAGCACAGCCAGGATTGTAAAGGGACTAGAAACTATGTCATTCAAGGTTCAGTTGGAACTAGGTATGTTTAGCCTGTAAAAAAGAGGAAATGTGAGAAGAAATTACAGCCATTTTTAAGTATTTGAAGAATTGTTATCTAAAAATATTAGATTCATTTTGCCTGACTGTGGCAGGCAACCCTATACCAATAGGTCAAAGTAGTAGAAAGACAGATTTAAACACAGCATAAGGAAAATTTTGTTAACAAATAGAAGTGTCCAAAATTAGATTAACATGCTTCTATGCATGTGACCCTGGACAAGTCTTTTAATCTCTGTCTGCTTCAGTTTACTCATCTATAAAATTGGGATGGTAATAGTACCTACCTCATGAGATTGTTGTGAAGATCAAACAAGATAATATTTGCAAAGAACTTAGCACCATGCCTGACACAGAGTAGCCACTAAACAACGGCATGTTTCCTTCCTTCCTCCTTTCTACCATTCAAGATTTAGGTAGGAGCAGATGAGATAATCTCTAATTTCACTTCCGTCTTTAAGCCTCTGATTTCTAGTTTCCATATCTAGTCAGTTACCAAGTCCTGTCAATTCTACCTTGACAGTATCTCTCCCATATGCCTATATTCCATTCCATTCCCTATTGGAGACTCTCATTATCTCCTTACCTGGCTTGTAACTACAAACTAGTCTTCTGCCCTTCTCTGGGGCAGCATTTGGCTATGCTGAGACGTCCTTCTCAAGTTTTTCTGTGCTGAAGCATAGTCAGTCTTCTTTGTCAGGTAGACATTTGGTACTGATTTCTCTTGATAAAAAAGCATTGTTAATAACTTGTCAGATAAAAAAAAAAGACACCCTAATGAATCCAATCCCAAAGGGTCATGAGAGCAAACAGACACGATATTTAGGAGTTCAGCTAAATAAGCAATTTCCAGGACTTAGAATGTATATTTAATAGAGCCTATGGAAAAACAGGTTCAGTAATGTTAAGCTCAGAGGTCCTCTGACTGCAATGCAATAAAATAAAATAACAACAATAGGTATAGGTGTTGACTGCAATAGAGGGCTTCCCTTAAAACCCTTTGTATTAAAGGATAAAACTTTTTCTAATAACCTTTGTGGAAACAAGGATTTCTTGAACAAGGGGAAATAGCTGAGTTAAAGTTCTCTAGTTTCAGAAGGAACAAATGGATCAGGTCAGGGAAGTTAAAAGAGTATGATGAAAGTTTATGCCAAGGTTCCTGGCAAGGGAAGCAGTTCCTAGAGCTTGACATTCACTGCTACCTGGTCCTATGGCACTAATGAAGCTTCAGGAGTAAAGTTCTGGGGAACTAAGGGCTAGCAGCAGAAAAAAAATCTGGGGTCTCAAGAGAAAAAGACAGGTTGGGAGATATAGCTAGGTTAGAGTTCAGTGGTTTTATAAATGCGCTTTCCCTTCATGTCCCTTGATAGATTATCTGAGCCCTGATCAATACAATGACCAACCACAACTCCAGAAGACACATGACAAAGCATACGTTCCACCTTTCTTTAATGAAAGGATGATAGACTAAACCAGGGGTGGGGAACGTGCAGCCTCAAGGCCACATATGGCCCTCTAGGTCCTCAAGTGTGGTCCTTTGACTGAATCCAAACTTCACAGAACAAATCTACTTAATAAAAGGATTGGTTCTGTAAAACTTGGCCACAAGTTACAGTTTACAAGTTTACAAAACAAAAGGCCACTCTCAAGGACCTAGAAAACCATATGTGGCCTTGAAGCCTGCAGGTTCCTTACCCCTGGACTACAGAAATACCAAATGTGAGATACATTTTATACATGCTCAATAATGCATAGATTTGTTTTGTTTGATTCTGCTGAATTGTTACAAAAGATAATTTTTTTTTTCTCTGGAGGTAGGAGGACGAATGGGGGAAAAAGGAAAAAGGGAAGTAATAGTAATCTCTCACAAAGAAAGAAAAGAGCATCCATAAGCACATAAAAATCCATAGAAGAGAGAAGGAAGTCCAGAGGGAGATACAAGCAAGAAAGTTTTGGAACTCATATATTGAATGAATTATATACTTTAAAAAAAAATCTGAATGTACCAAAGATTTGAGGTTTCATATAGAGTTAACTATTTCTGTTATTCTTTGTGTACAGAAAAGTTTATATTGGGGTCTACAGAATAAGTAAAATAAAGTAAAAATCCTGGGTTAGGGGCAAGAATTTCTGAGCCAGGCAATAAATACATTATATGGTGCTTTAAACTCTGCATGACATTCAATGTATATTATCTCATTTAAGCTTCAAAACATTCTAAGTGGTAAAGATGCTCTTTCTACGACCACCCTAGGACCCCCCCCAACACACATTTTCAATAGGGAACTCTGGATTAGTAAACTCCTTCAACCAATGTTTATTAGCATATATATATGCTAGAATTTATAGTCTTGAAACCACCTAAAGCACTGAGAGGCTGAGGTTCAAGCAGCTGGTATCTGTCAGAGGTAAAATTCGAACCCACATCTTCTTGGACTCCATGGCAGGTTTCCTGCCCCTATTTTAAAGCTGAGGAAAGAGAGACTTAAGAGACCACAGTCACAGAGCTAACAAGCACCGAAAGTGGGATTTGAACTCAGGTCCTCTCAATCCCAAGTGCAGTATTCTCTCCCACCATATCACAACACTTCTTCTATGATGTTCCTAGAGACACTTAACAAGAGGCACTGGGCAAACATTTAGAATGCAGCCTATAGACGGGCATGATTTGGGTGAACAGGGTGATTGCTGAATATCCCATTGGCCCAATCATTCGAGATGACTGCTGGTCTCAGGTATATGGAGGCCTGAATCAGGGAGGGGAAGCTAACATCTCTGTGTTCTTATCACATTCTTCCAGGAATTTATCCAGACATTTGATACCCATAGTAGCAGTGAAAGCTATATTGTCTGAATGAATAATCTGGAGCTTTGCAGTATTTGGAGCTGTACAAGAACCCAGCATCCTAAAGTGGCAATTGACTGCTGTTCATTTCAATGATGCCAGATTTTCTAAGTTCCCACTGAACAATGGATGGCACTTTGCCATAGAGTAACAGGAAAAGGGCTCTATGTAGTAAAAAGAGAAGCTATGTTGCTGTAGAATTAAAAAAAAAATCTAGTTATTATCTCATGACTAATTATCTAGCAGTTAACATAATGTATTATTTAGAAAATTAGCATTTATTTTCAAAGTGCCTGAAATTTAGGACCTGTTTAAGTACATCAAATAATCATCTTGAGAAGTAAAGAAGCTGCTGTGTGTGTGTTTTTCTATAAAATCTGGCATGAACTTCCACTTTCTGAGTACTTTTCTTCTCTTGCTTTCTAAGATCAGATGCCAGGAAAAAGAGAGAGAGAATGTGAAATTACAGAGCAATTATTTGCCAGTTCATTTCAAAGAAGCAGTTTGTGTATGACTTTCCAGTTTTTGGGAAAAGCCAGACATTCTGTATAGAGCATCTGGGGAAATGCCAGGATACATTTAAAACTCATATTTAACTATGAAAGACTTACTGTTTCACTGACCAGCCCTCAATTTTTTTGTCTTGCTATTCATAAACAAGAAGAGGAGGTACTCTGTGGTGAATTGAAATAGAAAAAATTGCAGTAGGATTAGAGTAAACACTTGAGATTTACTTTCCTCAGGTTGGCCTGGTACAACCAAACTTTGTTCTTTTGAAAAATGATTTCCCCTCAGGCCAACTCGCAGTGCACATGCGTGCTCCATCCTGGCTGTGTCGTGCTATTTTGACCAATGGCTGAAACCAACAGAGAATTCTTAGATTGTGGCAAGGGATGTGGCTGCATTTCTTTGAGACATTTGGAGTGAATGAAGCCCAACGCAGATCTGCGTAGCACATTGTGATATGATAGCAGCCCTTACAGGTACTTGGCATCTTCTAAGTAACTTTTCGGTCTGTTTGTGCGTATGTATTCAGGCACTGAGGCCATGTGGAAAGACAAGCCAATTCACTACAGTTTTACAGTTTCTTGGAAGCTCTCATTGGAAATATTACAAAACTAGGGGGAAAAATTTATAAAAACCTCTCTTTATAAATTCAAGTCATTAAATGCAGGCTTTAGCTGAAAGATTACTCTAAGAGACTCTTGGGAGAATTTATGATGACAAAAAATTTGTAACCAAACTTGTTTGTTGTGATAGACTTATGTAAGTACGTTTGTGTGTGTGTGTG